CGCATGAAGTACGTGTTCATGAGGTCGAAACTATGAATCTAGATGAGTCCCTTCAACTCTTTTGTCAAAAAGCATTTGGAAGAGGTGAACCTCAAGAGGATTTTTTGGAGCTGTCTAAAACTGTTTGTGATTATGCCGCAGGCCTTCCTCTAGCACTCTCTGTTTTGGGTTCTTTTTTTTTTGTGGAAGAAGTAGTGTGCCAGAATGGGAAGATGCTTTAGATATGTTGAAGAAAGATCCACATAAAGATATTTTTAGGATACTTGAAATAAGTTTTAATGTGTTAACTAATACAGAACAAATAATATTTTTAGATATTGCTTGCTTCTTTAATGGCAGGAGAAAAGACCTCATAACACAAATATTGGAAAGTTGTGGTTTTAATGCAAAGATTACAATAACAACTCTTCATGAAAAATCTATGCTAGAGGATTATTATGGTTTTTTGGTGATGCATAATTTGCTAGAACAAATGGGTAGGAGAATTGTTGTCGATAATTCTTCTAATGATGTTGGAAATCGTAGTAGGCTGTGGTCCGAGGAAGATATTGATGAAGTTATGGAACACAATTTGGTGGGTGTTGATTTTATTAGCTCTTGCTGGTTTAATTTTAAGATTTTTTGTCATATCATATTAGTATCATATGGCTAATGTTTAACGTACAGGGCACAAAAGAAATACAAAGTATAGTTTCATTCACATCTTGCGAGGCAAGTTGGCATCCTGAAGCCTTTTCAACATTGCGTAACCTTAGATTACTGATGGTATCAAGTGATTTCAACCTTCCTCATGGACTCAAATGTCTTTCTCATGCTTTGAAAGTACTTTATTGGACTAAATATCCTTTAGAAGCTCTTCCCTCTGAAACCCGTTTGTCTAAACTTGTTGATCTTAGAATGCGTCATAGCAAATTAAAGAAACTTTGGAAGAAAAGCCTGGTAAGATACCTTATGCTTTGATAGAGTTTGTGTAATTGATTATGATAGTTAGCACAATGTATTTCTTTTTCATTGATTCTTGTAATTTGTTTGATGACCAGTGCTCGGAGAGTCTGAAGTTTTTGGACTTGAGTCATTCCAAAAACTTGATTGAAACTCCTGATTTCTCTGAACTTCCAAATCTGGAAAGATTAGAACTTGAAGGTTGTGAAGGTATTGTTGACCTCCATGCTACAATTGGACAACACAAAAAGCTTCAAGTGTTGAACTTGAAAAGATGCAAAAATCTCAGAGCTCGTTATCCAAAAAAATTAGAAATGATTGCTTTGAAAGAATTTGTTCTTTGTGGGTGCATCCAAGTAAAACGTCTCCCAGAGTTTGGAGAAAGTATGAAAAATCTAGAAACACTTGATGCTAGGAAGACAAATTTAGTCAAACTTCCAGAGTCACTTGGCTTGTTGACTGGTCTTAAAACATTGAAATTAAGGGGTTGCAAGAATCTTGCTTGGCTTCCACAAAGCATTCACAATTTGAATCATCTTGTAGTTCTTGATATATCTGGCTGCTCAAAATTTGCTAGATCGCCAGAAAAGTCGAATGAAATTGAAGCCCTGGAGGTGCCTGACGCAAGTCAGTCAGATGTAACAGAAGCGCCATGTTCCATTGGATGTTTAGAAAAGCTCAAGAGATTGCCATTTAGCGGGTGCAAAAGGTCAAAGCCGAACTCTTGGAGCTTGATTCTTCTGTTCAACCACATGTTCTGGAGGCACTCAATTCATAAAGGCTTAACATTGCGTGCTTCAATCTTCAACCTTGAATCACTGACAGAGTTAGATTTAAGTTATTGCAGAATTGATGATGGATCCCTTCCGGATGACTTCGGTGGCTTATCATCATTGGGGAGATTGGATCTAAGTGGAAATAAGTTTAAGAATCTACCTGCTGGCTGCATATCAGATCTTTTGAATCTGCATTTTCTTTGTTTGAATTCCTGTTCAGAACTTCGGTCATTGCCGCAGCCTCCGCCAAGTTTAAAGACAATGGATGTAGGAGAATGTGCTTCATTTCGAACAGTGGCAGTCGAACAATTATTACATATCTTTACTTCAATGGACCAGGTGCGTACATATATACATATGTTCTACATATTGTTTTTTTGTTAATTATACTACGTTATTTGATATGCGATTATTTTTGGGTTTAGGCGAATGACCATGGGCCGTGGGGAGAAGTAGAAACTTTCGCGCTGACCATTCCAGGGAGTGAAATACCATCATGGTTTGAGAATCAAAATGATATTAGTGTGAACGAAAATGGTGGAGCTGATATAAGGATAGACATCCGTCCTGGCGAAGAGATGCTAGGAATTGGGTTATGCATTGTGATCGATGATAATTTTTATTCCACCCAACTCAGCAAAATAAAATTAGATAGGTCTATGTGGTTCTTTGATTTTATTTCATGTGATATGTTTAGCCCAGGGATAGGGCGTGATAGTGAGAAAAAAATAAAGTCTAACCACCTTTGGATCGTGTTTTGGAAACAAAAAGAAGAACTCAGTCGTAGATTCCAAGTAAGGAACCATGGTCAGATTCCCTTGTCATTTGTGGGCAATTTTCGGAAAGTGGAAGAAAAAGTTTCAATAAAGTGCGGATTGCGTATCATACGCAAGGGTGATTTTGAAAACAACGGCAGCTCAATGAAGGGACAACACAAGTACCGAGTATGTCACTTCCATTATACTTACCTTTTTTATTTATTAGAATTAAGAAAATTAATTAAATTATAAGTCAAGTACTCTTAGCTTGGTAACATTTAATGAGTTGTCTTAATTAATAATATTAACTCATGTTCTTAATATAAAAGTTTGTTGGTAGACGATTATTGGATTTGGTTTTAAATATAATAATTCAATCAACTTTATCTCTCATATTTATAATTTTTTTATCCAACATATCCCTATTTATTATAACGAGTTCTCCTACCAAGAGGTAGTTTCAATACACATAATTAGTAAGGATAGTTTAGAAAAGTTAATACACATTTATTACAAATAACTAATTTATTAATTGAATTTCTTAATTTTTTCAAAATGAGTTATCTAACTCTTATATTGAGGACACAAGGTAGTGTTAAGTGAAAATTGAGCATTTTTTTGTTAGCCAAGAGAACTGAAAGCTTAAACTCTTTATGAATGGAATGAGTGTGTAGCAAAACTAATAAAGTTAAAAAAAAAAAAAAAAGGGAACAACAACAAGAAGTTAACTTGGTTTGTTATATGTAAGAATCGTATTAGGTTTAGTAAGATTTCATAAAATAAAAAACAAGAAATTAAAGATATATATAGATGGAGGTATGCGGTTTAAATTTGCATATGATATACTCGTGATATTTATTAATAACAACTAAATATGACATGTAGTACGCAGCTTAATTATTTTTCTGATTTGATTGTGTTATGGTGATGATTGGCGGCGGCACCTCATTTTGCAGGCTGTTCAGACCTCAATGCCCCGAAGACGGTTTCGATCATTGCAAAGGTGGTCCGCTGCCAGACGCTAGAAAAAAATTGTCGGCACTGAAAGTATAGAGGTCGTTGCTGAATATTTCGCCGCTAACAGTGATAGTCACCGCTGAAAGTGAACCAAATGATTCTTAAAGATATACTTTCAACGGCGACAAAAAAAGTTACCACTGGAAATCTTAGTTTCAGTGACGACTTTTTGGTGTCGCCGCCGAAAGTCATCGCCTAAAGTTTTTTTTTTTGTAGTGAGATGACCCTGATTCGGGTTCTAATGTTTTTCTTAGGATTGGTCATGGTGGTGGTCATGTTCCGGTCCGACCTAGCCCAAAAAGTTTGAAAAACAGGATCAAAGCAAACTGAGACGAAAAGAGAGACCCGTCCCAGTGTGTGTGTATTTTTTTCAAATTTTGTTGTTTTGTTTGTACTTTTCTTCCATCCAGAGTTGTCACTTTGATTGTTTTTCCTGTGAGAGCCTCTAAAAGGGAACTCTTATGATTGGTTATCAAATCATTTTCTTGCCTCTCGAAAATGAGATGAGGCCTCTCTTAGCTTCCACCACAATATAATAATAAGTTCAGCTGCAGCAGATTTTCTTCGCACTTGGTTGCCTTTCCCTGGAAAAAGTGGTTATTGTGTCCTTCTTCCAACCAGGCTTGCAATATCTATCTTCAGTATTTCATCAACAATCTTCATTCTTCTGCAAATATATTTGTAATCAAAAGTGGCTCTGGAGAGTAGAAAAATTTCACAGCTTCGCTTCCCGATGAATCGATCAAGTTAATCCCAAAGATATTATCATGCAAAAAGAACGGAAAATTCTCTAGAGCAATAAAATGCAATTGTAACTGAAATAATAAGACCGTAAAACTTCCAATCATTGTGCTTGCTTAGAAAATTAGCATTGTAATGTGTTTATCTCAATTATTAAAGAAGTTTGTGTTTATTTGTTGCTAGTTGCACGTATAATCATGGTCATATTCATATTTTTCAAATGAACATTTAGTTCCTTTTGTTTTGTGATAAATTTTTTAAATAAACAAAATTTATGAAACTGGTATTATCTCTGAGCATTCGTTCATCATGTGCTTTGAATGTAACAAGTTTTTATTTATTCAAGCTACTATTATTACTAAAATAAATCATTTTTTAATATTTATCATCAGTCCAAACAAAAAGGGACGAATTAATAAAATTGGGAAAATAATTTCATATTCCAATTCTTTTATTCTTTACAGGATCCAAGTTCCAAACGTGCAAAAACAAAATTATATCGCGCAATTTAAAATTCCATTTATCTAATTAGGGAGTTATTATTTATTGCTTGTATTCGTCAGCAGTCAGCTTATTACTTGGCGCGAAGATAAAATTAATTTGAAACGGATCGGAAATACCCATCGGGTTTCTGGCCAGATACCCATCGGGTTTGGGCAGTGATGATTGATGAACACGGCACACGCCGTAACGACCGCCATAATGGAAATGGCAGTACTGACAGTGACTAGCCTCGCTCATTAGATCTCATACACACACCTTCATAGCCGACATAGATTCAGCAGAGTCTGCGCATTTGCATTTGCAAACCCTAGCTGAATTAGGCATTCTCTGCTTCTCATGATCAGGTGCCTCCATATCTTTTGTCCGGGTCTCTGTCCCAGTGATCCTACTAAATGTGGTATTTTGATTGGTGATCACTTTGTGCTGCTCTGTTTTCAGGTTGTAGATTGGGTTTCCAAGGTAGTTGAAAATGCAGCAAGTTACAATGACGGTTGATGAACGGTTGATTGAGAAAGCTATTAGAGAAGAATGTCCTTGGGAGAGCCTTCCAAAGCGAGTTCAGGCAATTCATTCCACTAAAGAAGAGTGGCACAATAGGTTAGATTAGCTTTCGTGTTCTACTTTTTGCTTAAACAGCTGTTTCAATATTCGGGTCTCTTTATAGTGGCATTTTAGAGATTATGTTCATGAAACTCTTGCTAACAATCTTTCATTTCAAGCTGTTTGCAAAAATTGTATTTTGATATACGAAACATAAGAAAACTTCAGTTGTCGTTTGTTATGTTTTTATTTTTTAGCAAGCCAGCAGTGCCCGATTTGTCTTGACATGGATTGGACGCTACCACGATACACATGACACATGTTCTAAACAAAGATGCCATTATGACAATAAAATTTATTTATTTTTCTGGATACATCTTGCACGTGAATCAAACAGAGTCGGCCCAAAAAAAGAGGGGAAACAATAGAATGAGAGACTAGAAGCACTTTTATCTTGATGAGATGACAAAAGTTTCTCACTAATATTTTTCTTGAACATGACTAAGCTGAATAGTAATTCTATAGTTTTTTTTTTTTTCAGTAGCCAATTTTTAGAAAGCAATAGAGTACTTAGAACATAGATAATTTTCTTTTTCTCTGTTTGGAATTAGATCAGCTTGTGAAAAGAAAAATTAGGATCTGCAAATGACATGTGTGCGAATAAGTGAGCTTTTCTACATTGAGGATAAGAATTGTTTCCTTACTTTCTGTTTTGAGGGGAAAGCTTTGTACTCTTTTCCTGAATAAATGTCCTCTTTTCTGTTAGTCTTTTTTTGGCATATATGATTTAATTCAGAATCTTGAATAGCTTAGAAGTTTTAGTTGTCTGAAAGAGATAAACATATTTTGTGATAAACAGTAAATCTCACACACACACACACACACACACTGTAATTTATTTTGTGATAAGAATGTGCACGAGCCTTCAAGTTCCATTTTTTTTATATAATCTCCTTTTCTAGCTGAAAATAAATCATTTAATTGTCATTCTGTTCTTTATAATATTCTCTCCATTGCAGTATATATTTTAGCCTGTTTGAATCTGGTTGATCAATTTTCACCTGTCAGTTTCACTTATAGAAAAAAATAATAGACTTCTGCACTATATGTTTGTCAAGAATGAAATATTTTGGGTATCTGTAGAATTAAATTAATTGCGACAATGAGACTCGAAAAAAATATCTACTGCCTTCAACAGTAACTCGATATATATACCAAAGCATCAATGACTTTCATGATATATTGCAAAATTTGGAAAGGTGTTTCCATTTAATTGAATAGATATCTATGAGTTTATACACTCCGCTAAAGCACCAACTTCAGTGCTCATGCCTCTCCTCATATATTTTTTTTCTGGCTATGGAATTATTATGCAGGATTGTTGATTACTGCATAAAGAAGAGGCTCCAATGGAATAGATGTTTTGCTCGCAAAGTTTGTTATGAAAGTGAATATTATGAAGAAATGCTGCGTTACTTACAAAAGAATCTGGCAGTATGTTCTTCACCGAAATTCCAGTTGATCTATCCTATTGAAGTCATATGTCAAATGAACTTTGCATTGATACAATGCCTTATCTATATACTTTGCTGCACTTCTTTTAGTAGAGATATCTGGCCTCTGTTTTTGCTGATCATGATGTTGATATTCTTAATTTCATGTATTATTAATTAGAACTAATGATATTGTATTTCACTATAGAGCTTAGATTTACTTTCCATTTTGTTTATTTAGTTCAGTCTTATTACCCTTCAGTCTTATTTCACTATAGAGCTTAGATTTACTTTCCATATGTAGTGCAGCATTTCATGGCCCCTTCAATTTCTTTTTCTCTTGTTTTAGGAAATCTTTTTAATGTTATATTTTTCCCTTGCAGATATTTCCTTATCATTTGGCCGAGTATGTCTGCCGTGTAATGAGGGTATCGCCTTTCCAATACTATTGTGATATGATTTTTGAAGTAATGAGAAATGGTAACTTGTTACTTGCTTGTGACAATTCTCAAATGATTTAATTCTGCTTGAAGATTCTGCTCAAATGTTGCTTTTTATAACTCAAAATTGAGGCTTTTCTCCAGGTTATAAATTTGGTGTCTTTTTATTCATCAGTTTCTTTGTGCTCTTGACAGTTTCTGGATTATCCAAGGAATGGTGTTTGTGTCAAACATCTCAACTAGACATGCATCTGTTCTATAAACTTTCTGTGAAGCTCCTTTATTAAATTGTTTTATGATAGATGCCTAAGTGAGAGAACCATGCTCCAAAAGTTAGCTGATGAGGTGGGAAAACCAACCAACTTAAAAGCTCCACTGAGCATCTCATAGGACTCAATGTGGGATTTAGCATCCCATAATACCAAGTCTCAATCATTTTTTATTGCAAATAACTTTTGCTACATATCCTCTGTAACGTTTAAATATGAAAAAATGTTTTGAAACGATAGAATTTTATATGATACATTATGTCTAGCTAACTAGATTACTGGCATACAGTAGACTTATTTTCTTCTGTGACAGTTGATGCTCCCTAGAGTAAGTGAAAGGAGTACACTTTTGCTACCAGATAAAGTGTTACCAATAGCGAATGCATTTAGTGAAGATGGTAAGAGAAGTCATAATGGTGTACACTAGGGTATGAAGAGGTGATTAGATATCTCAAAATTAGTATGTAACTTTTTTCTTTTTAACCTGATGTAGCCTGTAGGTCAAACAGCCTATATGCCAAATAATGATATCTGATTAAAATGACTAAGATGATGTGTGCAAAATGGTTTGTTTTGTTTTTTTTTTTTTTTTTTTTAAATTTCTGTGGTTCTAACGCCTTACCAAATGTTGAGAGGTTAGTATGCATGGAAGCTGGACTCTATAAATATCATTCATGTTTCCATTGTTTGCAGAACAACCATATGACAGCATCCCGAATTTTAGTGCTGCAGATGCCTTAAGACTTACAGGAATTGGGAGGAATGAATTTATGGATATAATGAACAAGTGTCGATCTAAGGTACTGCATGTATTTATTTGTAGATAAATAGTATTCACATATATGGCATTCACACTCATAGTTGGTTTGCTTTGCATTTGTATGTCAGCGTGTGCCTAACTACCTGCATCAGCATTTTTTTTTTTTTAACTTCCAAATTTCTATCATTCTTGTCTCACTCGTCATTTTTACTTTTGGAATATTCAGAAAATCATGTGGAAACTGAATAAGTCAATTGCGAGAGATTCCTTACCTCTAGAACCTGTAGATTTTGCAATCGAACCGTGGTGGGGAATTTGTCTTGTGAACTTTTCCTTGGAAGAATTTAAGGTGAGGTCTGCCTTTGATCCTGATGAAAAGAAGCACTCGCTCCAATAAAATCGTGTTATGTTAATTTGGCAATAAGAAATTTTTTGTGTTCACTCATCAGGTATACTTTTTCCCTCACATTTTCTTCCACTTTTTGTAGAAACTCTCAGGAGAGGAAATGGCCACTGTAGACAAAGTCTCTAAGGAGGAAGGTAATTCATTTGTCCAGTTTGATCCTGACATAGTAAAAGCTCTTTATAGACGGGGACTGATCTATTTTGATGTTCCTGTAAGTCCTGATGACCGGGTTAAAGGTGAGTTCTCTCAGTGTCTAAGTTTTGGTGCTTTGTTAATATATTTTCTTCATGTAAAATTTCTACAGGCGTATGTTTTAGGATTCTTATTTAAAAGTAAAATGTTCATGAGACATGCAACAAAGCAAAAGATTCCTGATGTATTATGATTCAAATTGACCAACCAAAATGACCATACCGGTTCCTATAAAGTTGCTACTGGTTGTTTTTGTTTATGGCAGCACAACGCAAGGAAAAAAAATAGAAAGCCAAATCTATGCCACTTTAAAAATCACATCTTCATGATTACAAACTCAAAACATATTTTTGTATCACTTCATGTACGAAAGAAATCTAATATATACATCATATCTGCCTAACTGTTAAAAATATTGTAACCTTTGCAACTAGCAACCCATCAAAATCCTCTGCTGCAGCAGGGTTAGACAGTGTCGTAGTAGAAATCTCTTGACTTAGCGTCAACACACAGTCATGAGTTATGGTGACAAAGATCTCAATCAAATCCCAAAAAGCTCTGAAATCTGACAATGCTTGCTCCAACAGCAATTGTATCACACCTGCAAAGAAAATCAGATATTGGTAGACAAAGCTGAGACATAGTTAATCAGATCTAGGTGAATGTTTCAAGGAGTAAGAAAGCATTGATGTATAAGAGAGTGAAGGAAATAGAGAAACAGGAGAAAGTGAGGACTGAATTTTGAGGGTTCAGTTTTAAGCAAACTTTTTAATAAATTTCATTGTTGAGTAATTTTTATTATAGTAATTGGTCACTTTTCATGTTAAGTGCTTCCTGCTATTGTCTTTGTTATGATTGCTTTAGTATCCTCTCATTGCCTTATTGTTATGGAAATATGACTAATGAGTTTATGGTAAGCATACCAGAAGATTTGGAAAATAAAAAGTAAAAAAAATTGATTTATGGTGAGGACTGAATTTTGAGGGTTGAGTTTTGTTATGATTGCAAAATATTATTTTATTTCAATTTTGTTTACATTTAAAAGCTTGCAAATTACCTAAATTTGTTAAATGATTAAAATATGATTTAGCATGCATGGTTTTATTGGCAATTTGCTCTGGAGTATGAAATATATATATTTATATATAAAACATTGAAGGATAAAAAACAGTAAAGTAATCAAGCATATGATATGTGCAACATGTTTTTTGATGACGCTTTCTACACATTTTGAGCTGCCTGAGGTTGGGAAGAGACGTCATAACATTTATATTTATGGTGATTCAGTCTCCAGGCTTGAAGGTTTTGTTTCCAACCGAGAGCAGTCTTATGAAGATCCTATTGAAGAGTAAAGCCGCAGTTTGAATTTTTATTCACATCCTTTTTGTTTAATGCTTCCTTAAGATAACCTTAACGTGAGTTCTTTATTTTCTAGGTTATTGTATGCAGTTTTTGTTGTTTCAAGTGAAAATGTAACAGTTGCTGAACTGGCAACAACACTACAGGCTGATTTGTTGCAACTACAGGCTGCTGCATCATTTGTATGTCGATTAGGCTGGGCAACCAAAGTACTTGACCCGGCATCTATTCTTCAAGACATAAGTATAACTGGTTCTCCTAGAAGTTCTATTGATGGCGAAGATGCTTCTCGTATTGGTTTGATTGCTGAGAGTATGCTCATTGGCAATGATTCCAATCAACAGGAGGATGCTTCTTGGACAGGGAACTATGGTCATAGTTCTGCTTCTGCAGTTACTCGTGTTGCTCTAATTGTTGATGCTAATATAACATCCTATCTTATGATGGGTTCTGTTTCGCCAGGTTCTGGCCATGTGCCTTTTTTAGCCTCAAATTTCATTTTGTTAATCAACCAATTTTGTTGGACTCTAAACATAGTTTGGGTGTATTTTATCTCAATACTCTCGTGCGATAGTGCAATCATGGTTTTTTTAAGTTTCCAACACCTTTTTGGTTGCTTTTTTTTGTGCAGAAATATTTGAGTTTATGATAGTACTGAGATCTTTCTCCTATCAAATTTTTCTGTTGACCAATGACAATTTGATCGCAGTCTGATTATGAGATTGTTAAATTCAAGAATTGATTTCCAAAGTTTTTACAAGTTTGCCAGTCTTAGACCCAAAACGTTGACAGATATCGGAACAACTTAAAGAATGCCTTTTGTTTTGTTTATTTTAAATAACATGCTTTTTGTTTGGTAGCAAAATTTTCATGATTTCTGTAAAACGTTAAAAGAAAAAAAAAAAAAAAAGGTTATAGTAACCTACCACTCTTTGGATGAGAATGAATGATACATTTGGAGTGAGGCATAATCTGATTTAGCAGACTCCAGGTGAAAAATCCACTTCAAAAACTTGCTGGACAATAGTTGCACCATAATTGTATTTATCCATTTCTAGTTTCTTTTGTTAAATTTTCCCTAATCTTAGATATTTACTGCATTTGAGGCAAATCTTGATCTCTTCTGCACTACTCTGGTTTTCACATTCCAATATCATGCGAATAATTGAGCTAGTTGCCCATTATGCTTTGCTCCTTCGCCCAGTTATCTCATAAATCTGCAAAATCGGAGAATATCAAACCATAACAAGACTTCCAGGTTCATGGGCAATATATATTCTTTTTATTATTCTGGAAAATTCATAAGTATTCTGCTTATTAAATCAAAGCAGTATTAGCTTGCTTTTTGGGTGCTGTTTTCAAAGGTTCATGCCTGTTATTCTTCAGTCTTTTCATGTACAAGAGAATTCACTGCATGTCTGTCTATCTAGAGTCTCTAATCAAATTAACATGTCTGTCCTCTTGGTGGATTTTGTTAGGTTTGAAATCTCATGCTGTTACACTATATGAAGCGGGGAAACTAGGTCATGCCAGCATTTCTGATCTTTGCAAGGATCTTAGTACCTTGGAGGGTGCAAAATTTGAGGGAGTACTACAGGAATTTGCAAATCATGCATTCAGCCTGCGCTGTGTATTAGAATGCCTGCTATCAAGTGGAATTGCTAATGCTACTAATGCTAAAGTGGAGGAAGGTTTTTATAAGATGGGTATTATTACATCAAGCAATGATGATCCAAGTTATCGGAGAACTGAAATCCCTTTGACTGGCACAGCGGGTGACTCTGGCATTTCAGAAAGTGGAAAGAATAATGATAATTTATTAAACTTACATTCAGAAAAGTATGAGGAGGCTTCTGTTACCTCAGATCTTGTTCCAGGTTACACGGGTGATGTATCTCATCCTATTATCTTGCAAGGTGACCGTGGGCAGACACCAGAATTCTGTAAATCAGAGACAAATCTCCTGAATGATGAGAAATTGATAGCAGTTGAAGGTTCAGATGTTGAATCAGAAATGTTAAGCAATAAAAAGAAATATCGTGTAGATATTCTTCGCTCTGAAAGCTTGGCTGCTCTTCCACCAGCAGCTCTTGAGCGTTTGTTTCTTCGTGATTATGATTTAGTTGTGTCCATAGTGCCTCTTCCTCAATCATCGGTTCTTCCTGGACCTTCAGGTCCAGCTCATTTTGGTCCCCCCTCATATTGTTCGATGACACCTTGGATGAAACTTATTCTATATTCGACTGTGGCTAGTGGGCCTCTGTCAGTTGTTCTGATGAAAGGCCAGTGCCTGCGTTTACTTCCTGCTCCATTGGCTGGTTGTGAGAAAGCTCTGATATGGTCTTGGGATGGTTCCACTGTAGGAGGCTTGGGAGGGAAGCTTGAAGGAAATCTTGTTAAAGGAAATACTCTCTTGCATTGTCTAAATTCACTTCTTAAACATTCGGCTGTTCTGGTGCAGCCTATCAGTAGGTATGATCTTGACAAATCTGGCAAAGTGATTACGGTAGATATTCCTTTGCCTCTAAAGAACTCTGATGGTTCAATTGCCCCTGTAGGAAAAGAGTTACGACTGCGCAAAGAGGAAATATTGAAGTTGAATTCTCTCTTGACAGACTTGGCAAACAGAATGGAACTATGGACAGTTGGTTTTATTCGCCTATTAAAATTGTTTAAGGGAAGAGAATCAGACCAGTGTTCATGCGATGAAGATAAATTTGAATGGGTTCCTTTGAGTGTTGAATTTGGGATGCCACTTTTCAGTCCGAAGCTTTGCAGTAGTATATGTAAAAGGGTGGTTTCGTCAGGTTTGCTTCAAACTGGCTCATTTGGGGAACACCATGATTCAATGCAAAGCATAAGGAAAAGGCTGCATGACATCTGTGCAGAGTACCAACCAACAGGGCCTGCTGCAAATATTCTTTACCAGAAAAGGCACGTTGTGGATGCTTCTCCGCAGCTTATGAACTATGCTAGTGGTAGATTGAACCCGTCTGTGGACCCTCTTCCAATTTCAGGGGCATTGAGTGGGCATCAGGGATTAAAGCTTGCTAATCAACAATGCTGCCTAACTGAAGTATTAAGCTTTGATGGCCGCGTTCCAAGGTTGGTCAGAACTTCTATTGACTCATTGCTAGAACATGGATGGATGAAATTTCTCATCAGATAAAGGAATGATCTCAATTAGTGTCATCTTGACAACAGAAAATCACTTACTTTCACCAAAATAATCAAATGGATTCTTCTGTAATATAAATATTGGTCAAATATTTTGGTAACTTGTGCTACAAATACACTGAAGAAAGAGATCGTACTTTCTGCTAATTTGCTTTTAGACCCCGGTTGAAACAAGTTGTTCCGTCAAACCTGGCGAACATTTGCTCAATGTGTCGCAATTGGTGGTTCCAGACTTCATCTTGCCCTTGATTTTCGTTTGTATTTCTTGGAATCCTTTTAAAGATTTGTGCAATGATAATGCATATTATGTAGCCACTAACTTTCTTTTGTCTGCTTGCTTGAGCCACTCAGATAAAGATTTGTTAGCCATCTTAGATGTAGATGATTAAACCTTCATTATCAACGATAAAATTCTACTGAAAAATAACTTTTGACCCCTGTAGAATATCCTGTGGCTGCAACCAATCAGGTTAACAGGACTAGCTTCTTATTTTGCCACTGAACTGTTTCTTCGTTGGTAACGATGGAAATACATAGTCAAGGATAATTTATTGGTTTGTCTCAAGGCTTTCTTATGAATTTTAGTGTCTATCTGTTAGCGATAGGGACCAAGGTAGTATGAAATGTCTAACTTCCATATCGTTCAGTAGCTTAGATTGCTCAAGAGATTAATTAAGTACTACAATAATGAGCTTTTAGGGGAGGATTCTTCCCTCTACTTGAGTACACATCATTTGTTATCAAAGTTAGTGGCTGAAAACTCTACAAAGGGCTGCCTGCGGATGGTTTTCGCTTGCAGAAGGCCAGGTGAGGTGTCATAGAGCATAGTTTCAAAACTGTCAACTTCCCAATACTGGCCTATTGATAGATGTCGCACAGAAGCTGATATCCTTTTCTTTTTGAATAGGTTGCACAGCAAGTGATTTAGTTATAGTAGTAAACTTATACAGCAATAAAAGGAAATTAAAGAGTTATGGTTTAGTACTCTTTATTTCTAGCTTTATCTGCTAATCATCTCAAGTCTCAAACTGGTTACTATTGAATGGTTAATGCAGATCAAACGCCTTTACTCCTGTTTATGAGGCTGCCACAAGACCCGTGGAAGAAATTCCTCAAGCTGATATGTTGGAAACTGAATCAGACCCAGATGAAAATGACAGCAAAGAAGTGCTCCTTCCGGGTGTCAACCTCATTTTTAATGGTTCTGAGTTGCATCCATTTGATGTAGGTTCTTGCCTCCAGGCTCGCCAACCAGTTACATTAATAGCAGAGGCAGCTGCCGCCTGTGCATCAATGGCCGTGGTCAAAAAGATCTGCTAATATATATTAATCCAACGCAATACCTATAAATTGCAACCTGAGCAACTTTACTGGACTATGCTTTTTCTATCATATGCTTTGTGTCTTTGAATTTTTGAAGTTGGGCCAATGTCTCATGTGACATAGTGACATGAAAGCTTCTCTACAAGTGGGAGAACGCAAGTTCAACCCCACTATTTATCTGAAGCTATTTGTTTGCCTTGTAATATTTAAAAAGAAGAAGAAGAAGAAGAATCTTTCAAGGTTGTCATTGTGCTCCTACTTTTTTTTTTGGGGGGGGGGGGGGGGTGGGGGGGGGGGACAAATGACGTTCAGTCTTAAAATTGCTGTGTATTTATTACCTACTTATTTGACTTCCTAAATGCCAATAATTGTGATTTCCGGTGTCCAACAACTGGTTATTTCCTTGCATTACTGAAGACCTTCAAGTTTACTGGCACTAGTTTTTATTTTTAAAGAAAAAAAGATGGAGGACAAGATGCTGAGATTTAGCAACAGATTCGCTTGTAAATTATTTTCTCGTTCCTTGGATGTCAAGTTTAGTTTATTATTTCATGCTAGTGATCTCTCTCTTTACATTGGACAAGTCTTTCCTGTTGCTCAATGCAGGCTGCATTTGTTCCGTTTTTTGCTATAGCCGGGAACTCCCATTTTGTCAGAGCTGTTAAAAAGAGGAAATGTAATCGTTGTTAAACCATCCAATCTGATGAACGGAATGATGCTGAAAGTGGTCATCAGAGGAAAATGCGATCATTGGCGAATCCTTATATACCATTCCGTCTAACACAAGTTTAACTCGTTCTCTTGCTTTCACTCCACCTTCATTGATCATCAATCTGTAATTTATTGACACTTCCTACTTCCTTATAGCAAATATTAGTCATAGATGCGGTGCTTTTAATTTTAGGCAAAATAAGCTTTAATTAAAACAAGCTAAGCTTTTTTCTTTTAAATAAATTAGAAAGTATTAATAGCTATTAAGGGGGTGTTTGGGTCATGCTAAAAGTGTTTTTCAAAAACACTTTTCCGCAAATTAAAACAAACAACTATACATATTTATATCGTAAAAACATTTTTAAAATCATAGTTTTGTTTTTACCCAAACACTCTCTAAATGACTTTATGTAGCTTTGCATGTCAATAGGCGACAATAACAGGGTTGGCAAGGAACCCGACCTTTTGACCATGACATGTGGTCTCTTGTGGGGACTTGCTATAAGGACACGTGTGTCAGTTACAGGCACATATAACCTCGGACGTGGCGGTGCATATGAAAGGAATAGAACAGTGAGAGGGCATAATATGGTAAGCTTTCTGTTCGTCAACAAAATCTGAGGCCATGGAAAACGATTCCGATGCTGTGAGCCGTGCGTCTCTTATAATCTCCTTCTGCCATATGACTTCTGCTTCCCATGACGATGCCCTCTTCTTCTTGGAGAGCCACAACTTCGACTTGGACGCCGCCCTTTCCTCCTTCTTCAAGAACAGCTCCTCGCAGCCAAATTTTCAGTCTCCGACTCGGCATGCGGATCCCAAGAATCCTTCGGGAACACTCACCGGTGGAACTAGCACGCTTTCTAATCTGAAACGGCCACCTACTGATACGGCCGCTTATGATTCTGGCGGTGATTCCAGGTGGTATTGAATTTTCGGCATAGTCTGTCATCCAACCTATCAAGGGCCACAAACTTTCTGGACGATCCACAAAATTTTAGAGTGATGTTGAACTCTCGAATATCATGGATCTTTTTTAGCAAATTTTTGTTTCTCATTTGGTCCTTTGTTACAATACCTTTTTATGGTTGTTACTTGTTAGTACACATTTTGTGATCCGTATATCCTTTGTATTTATAAAAATCCAATGGAAGTTGTAATGTTACCAACTTGAACCACTTTTTAAGAGTGACTTGGTTCAAGTAATCATATTTATTTTAGCACGTTAACTGCCTACAAAGGCCGACTTCAGCAGGAGGCAACATGTTAATATGAGACCTTATAAATTTTGCTGCCTTATGAGGATTGTTTCCCCTTTATCTGCATATGATCTTCATGATATCTTTATCATATCATATTTAAACTCATACAGAGCAGATATGAAAAGAAGGCACATTAGTTTCCATGGTTGGTTATTGTCACCAGGGTTTTAAAATTCACCTAGTCTTGTAAGACTTTTTGTATTAACATATGAAAATGCTTTTTATTTTAACTATATTTTGTAAATTGAAGTTAGAGTAAAAATTAATTAGTGCAATGATCTTGGAATATGCTTTTGTAAAAAAAAGAAATCAGTTGAATATGTATTTGGCTTTTACAACTCGAGCTCCAAAATATGACATGATTGTTGGGGGGGGGGGGGGAATCATGAATACAAAGGTGATGATTCATTAACAAGACATGAACAAGTAAAATGAAATATCTTTTGAAAAATTCTCATACAACGTGAAGAAATATTCATCAACAAAAAGTTGATGAATAAGCTAACTTTACTCTCAAAAGATTCATTTGACTCTAATATCAATCTAAACGTAATTTTTGGACTTAAATTTGTTTTTAACTTTTGAACTTCCTTTAGTAAAACTTTCGGGTTTAAGTCTCTTATTTAGAGATATTATAGAGGAGGCAAGGTTTCTTATTTTGAAGGATTGGCAAATGGTTTTCAGCCATATTTTCAAAGAAAACAACACTCAAGTTGATCATTTGGCCAAAATGTCTCATAGTTTAATAAAAAGTTTTTGTATCCTTGACCAACAATCACCTTTTAATTAAGAGATGGTCGTTGATGAAAGAGAATAGATATTAGCTTTTCTTCTTGTGTCCTTTTTTAGTTGTTGAAGTTGTATTCAATTTCTACTAAAAAAGTCCAATTCAAAGAAGCTATCAACTTCAAAATTGTTGTCTTGCCTTTTTGTACTTAGTTAACGCCACACAAATTGACTCTTCATTCTTACCTTTTGGTCTTAGTGGAAAGCTGGAACCAGTTTTGATGTTCATCATCTTGATGAACACCATAAGCTCATCAGATCTTGACCGTCGATATCTAATTTAAACAGTTTAGATTTAAAATCTTAAATTAATTATTTTCAAATAGAAAAAACTATTTTTCTTTAAAGAATGACAGTTAAGAGATTATCTTTATTTTATATTTTATACCTAGTAAAATAATTATTTTGAATAAATAAAAATAAAAAATAAATCAAATCTAGACCATTCAAATAAAATATAGATAGTCCAAATCTGATGAGCATATGGTGTTCATCAAGATGATGAACACTAAAACTGGTTCAATGGGAAGGTGACCACCCTGTTGGGTAGCACCAACATGCATTACATAATAAACTAATTGATTCGGAACACACATGTTGCAATAAATATGTCAAAATGCATTCGACTTGCTTTCTTTATACAGCCTTCTCCTTCAACTCCTTTTTTTTCATTTATTTTAATTTTTCAATTCCATCAGTACTTTTTTAATATAACCTTCTAAAAAAAATTCGATGGAACATATGAAAAATAGAACTTTTCTTTTACATCATTGGGAATATACCAAATTAAAGAAAATATTGTTTTTGAACGATTAAATTGAGAAAATAATTTTGTCATTCATGAGGATTAGAGAAAAAGCTTAAGCCAAGTTTTTTATACCCATTATGTCAAATTATCCAACCACATATGATCATATATCCTTTTTTTGTTTCATGTAGATTTATAATTAAATGATATTGAATGCTAATATTTTAAAAATAGGATGCAGAGCATGATAAATTCGAAGAACTTGATGTACATATTGTCGGATCAAACTATAAGTAAAAAAAATTTTATTGTCACATGAGGGCATGAGGCTGTAGTAATAATATGAATACATTACATGTTGAATCGGTAGTTGAAGCAAGCGGAAGAGACATCAGAGAAGCTTGATTTAGATGGCGTTGTAGTAATTGGGGGAGACAATTCAAACACTAATGCTTGCCTGCTTGTAGAAATATTCAGGTAACATATAACTTATATACTATCTCTAATTCTAATTATAAGATCTCATTTATAGGCTATAAACGATATCTTATAATTAGGACCAGAGGCATTATAATGTTTAACTTTGAATCATAAGTGCAACTTTTCTTCTCCGCTTTTAACCTTCATCAAATTCTTTGATAGTATTATATATATCGCCATGCTAAAATATTTAAAAGTATCAGCTTGCGAACTTTTTGCTGCACTTTCTCGCCGCGCCTTTATCCATTTTCGTGTGCAAGTGCTACGTATTGTGAGGCTCATGCGTACAAAATCAAACTGATACTAAAGGTCATTTTAAAAGATTAACTATACATTATTTACTTTGCTTTTTATATTTATATGCACACATACACACTTTTTTTACATGGCTCTGTGTGTGTATGTTCTTTTTTAATATGTCAGACTTAAATAGATTTAAATATTATTAGATTGAATTGGGAATAATTCTCCTAAAAGTATTTTCTGCATTAACATTCGCACAAACTTAAATTTAAGATTTTGTATTTAAACGGTCAAAATCCTTTTTATTAGGACCTATACCTCTTAGTCATGGCTGTATTACTACCTCCGATCCTAATTATAAGACCCAGTTAACTAATTTGAAGGGTTTAGGGAAGTAAGTTAAGTTAGTTATTTGTAATAAATAAGTGTTGTCATTCCTAAAATATCCTTGCTAATTAAGTGTATTGGTTAGAACTATTATTATTAGAAGGATTATCTTGGAAAAAATACATAAATATGATAGACAAAATAGATTGGGGTCTTATAATTAGGACCAAACTAAAAGTCAAACGGGGTCTTATATTAAGGACCGGAGGTAGTATCTTATTTTGATTTCGCTTAGATGTGGTAGAAAATTTAGATCTCAATTACTCCTTTCGTCCCTAATTATAAGATCCTTTTTTTTTAATGGATTTATTTTTTTTTATAAGGTCCTTTTTGAGTTTATCTGAACAGTTAATGCATTGTTACTTATTTTACCCCTAATAAATTCTCATGTAATTCTCTCTCCATACATTCTCATTATTACTTTTTTATATTTATTAGGGGTATATTTGGAAAAATTATATTTGTTACATATTAATTGTTTTTAACTAATTTTAACTGTTTTCTTAAAAAGCGTAATTTGACCAAAAAATTCTTATAATTAGGGACAAAGTAGTATACGTTAAGCTAGAACTGCTTCAAGCTTCTCGAAATCTACAAGGAGGACTCATTCTGACACAATTTTTCA